ATGAAGACCAGCGGACAGCCTACCTACGTGTTACCGGGATATAACAGCAATCCCCACGGACAGACCGTCTTTGTCTATCATGTATGATTCTTTATTTTATTTTGTTCTTCTCTATCAAATGTCATGGTTTTTGTGATAGTTTTTTGCTTTTTATTTTTGATTAAATTTGGTCACTGGACATGCTTGGTAACAGACCCCTCGTGAGTGTTGAGATTATGTGGACTTGGTCGTATTGAGGGGAGGAAAAGAGAGGAAGTAGTAAAAGAGCGTTCTGAGAGCCCCACAATGTTCAACTTTTGAAGGGAATTTTTCCCTCAGTGGCCCACTTTCCTTACTTTAATTCAATTGTACCCCAATTAACCAGTAACATCTCAGGAACTGAAACAAAATTGACATGATTTGAAATAGGAAGAAGCTGTCTTTTGCATGAGGAATTGATGCAAATTACATGCACTGCAAATCTGTACTTTGTTCTTGAACTCAGCAGATATTTTGTCATTGTGCATACCAAAAATCAAAATACTAGTACATCCTATGTGTCATGGCCAAATGCATTTGTTATTAATATCTGCTGACTTCCTCTACAGTTTTCCCATTGTTATGTTGCTGCCTGAAGTGGTCTGTTTTTGACATCTAACTTTATGAAAAAAATTGACGTTGTGTTCTTTCCATTGCATCAGATTCGTAGAGTTGACACATTGCATCTACATGTAGCTCTGAAAACTGATCTATCTTTTGAGCTTTATTTGTTTGGAATTGTAGAATTCATTTATTGGATTACTTTGGGAGCTCTGTTAGTCTTCTCTGTGTATCTTAATAAGCATGAAGATTTTTTGAAGCAATGTGCACAAGTAATATTCTGGCAATGTACAGTATGCACAATTCTAACTTACATGTACAAACTGCTCAGCATATGTCATCAGACATAACATCAACTAGCCAATAATTATTCCTTCTTGAAACTAAAGCCATCTAAACAACTAAACCGCCCATTCAAATTCATTCAAATATGCATTTTTCCCGTGCTCTCGGGTTACTGTTCAACCGTCACTGTTTAACTTGAAAGAATTCTATTTTCTAGTGCTGTTGACACAGTTGCCATCAGTTCACTGTATCATTATGCGCACATTATTTCCATGTCTACTCCAGATGGCTGTAAACCCTATATGGAACTTGAAAGAGTATCACCATACACCCAGACCTAAACCCATCAAATGATCTATTTTTGTACCAGTCTGACTGTACAGTATCTATCATGCTGAAGATCATCGATATCTGTGGGGGTAATTTGTCAATAACCACAGCCCATCTGCCAGTTGATTATGCGAGCCCGGTGATTAAAAAATCGTCAATATTCTAGACATCTTAACCCAGATGGCTTGGGTGTTTTCTCCCCCAGTGGGAGGTTGGTGTAATCCTAGAGCTGTGGTATAATTAATGAGATGGTCTTGCCAAGCTGGGAGGAGGCTGTGGGTCTTCGTATCCATGGAGAAGTTGACCATTAGAAGGCACTGTATCTCTTGCTATGAGGTATTCATTTACTGGGCAGTTGGTGTGAGAGAGCTGTTCACGTGGACGTTTTTCACCAGGACTGACTGTATGACTGAGTGAGTTCCATTTGAGGACAGCTTCTCATGGAACCCCTTCTTGATTCCTCTCGAGTTTCTTGAGTAACTTTTCTTCTCAAACTTTCCCTCCGTTGTCTGTACTTAAAGTTCAAAGTAGGTTTTGGTGTCAGCTCTTTGTTATTGGGAAATGAACCGTAATCTTTCTCTTTTAATGCCAAATCCTTGCCCGAGTTATGTGTCGCCCTCGCAGGATGATGTAGCGCCTTCGCCAGAGTTGCCTTACTGAAGTATGAAATTAAGGCATGCCCCAAGGAGAGAGAGAGAAAAACCGAATTATCCTTCGCAACCACGGTATAAGTTATCTTCCTCAGTGAGTGGACATGAACCGTGAAATTAAACATAGCACGTTCTATCCTAATTCATGACTTGGAAGTCAAGGTGTTTGCCACTTTGAATGACACATCAAAAATTGTAGCAACTTGTTATGGAGGGAAACAAGGACTACTGAAATCTCTTTGCACATGTATGTCTTGTTTCTGATTTGAGTAGGTGAGAAATGTACATTGTCACAAGCCAACCCTTCATGTAGATGATAACAGACTCTTTGAAGTGTCAGGTTTGACTATTGTTATTATTATTCGGGCTCATAAATTCAGCTAAAATTGTAAAGTGACACTCGCAAGATCGGGCTAATTGTATGCCTACATATAAGTGCAGCAGATGGACTTAAAAATAATATTGACGGGTTTTGAAAGCTCGCGGTGAAAGCTTCTTTCACTATAATAGGCATAGCCTATGGACATAGTATTATCCTGGTCTTGTACTGGTGATCTTGTCATGTGATCATCAGGACACTTAACTAATGCATTGTGGTTTGAACTTTGGTCTTGAAGACTCCAAAAGGAAGTTTATTCATTGAGGAGACCTGGGTAACTGTTTTGTTTCAGGGCTGGGATTTGAATGAGAGGAAAGGGAGATTTTGGTTTCATAAAGTTGGAAGAAGCATTGGTGCAGAAAGCCGTCCATGGAGAATGGTAGGGATCAGTAAAAGTCCATTCAGTTGGTGCTTGAGGAAGAATGGAACTAGAGACACTTGAGACGTATGGCAAGCCTAAGAGACGTGTTCTTTTCTTAGGCGCCTCATTATTCAATTTCAGAACAATTTGCAAATCCACTCCGAGCGGAACAAAAGAGGGCATGTTTTTTGGTACTCACCGCAGAGGCGCGTCATGAGGCGCACACGTATATTCCCGTTTGACCTGGAACACGCTGAGTGCGCATAACTAATTTTTCTGGCATGTATGGTCTTTGCGTACACGCAGAATGCGTGCAAGAGCCCGCTTGTAACCACCTGTCTTTCTTTCACCAATTGGGGGTACACTTCAGCTCAGGGCGGATAGTCCTGGTCAGACTTCAGCTGGTGAATTGGTGAGAAAGTGAACAACTAATGCACGAAAGGATGCTGGATCCGGATCCAGTGCAGAATTTCTCTTGCAAATTGCTGAAAGATAATATATAAATATTCAAAGTGTTACTTCTTTGTGGCCATCTATGCCATCAAGTATTTGCTACCCTCATAAATTGTTGCTAATGTGTCTGCTTAAATGCTGGTTGCTATCCCCACAGCTAATCATTGCCTCATCCCAGGGCTTACTTTACAAGTGTTTTATCTCCAGATGGTGTTGTTAAAATATTGATCCAGATGGGCTAAACTTTGGCTGTACAAATCTCCCCTCCCATAATGGACTTTTTTTTTTCTTTCTAAAAAATGTTGACCTTGGTAGGGCTCCAGAGTATTTTGTCCTGCCTTTCTTATTATCAATGGCTTATGAAGTTCTCAGGTGAGGAATGTAAACAGAGAAGTAAATGAAGTGAGGGGTCTGTCATAAAACATGAGTATGATTCCAGAGAAAATAAATAAAATCCCCTGGGGGTCCCCTCGCCCATAAATTTATCTCCAAATTTTGGGGTCCAATATTTCTTTTGTACCTCCCAGTTGTGCACTTGGATGCAGTCCTAATAGTTTGAGGCGAAGGGAAGAGTCTTTACTGGGTCAAAAATGGACAAGAATCTCAGTACTTGGAAGTAGTCATGGCTTTATCGTCATGAAGATCGTATAGGCCTACATGTATGACCAATCAACATGGACTTTGACTTCCCCTTTACTCTGGTTGATTTCTGGTCTGATAGAAAACCTGCTTCTTCTCAATTAGTCCCTCCTAAATTTTGTTTTGTGTCTCAGTCTTTGACAGTCGGCCCCTTTGCATTTCACCTCTGAAGGTACTACTCAAAGCTTTGGTTCATTTTCAGTTTTGTCTAAACAATGCCCCATTCAGGTCAAATCACTATAAACTGCCCTTGAAATGCTCAGTTGTTTTTTTTTGGGGGGGGTTGGAAATTTACGACTAGGCCCCACAGATACCCGTTACAATAGTGGAGAATCCCAGATATGCCTAATCGTAAAGTTTAAAATTACTCGTAAAGGTTTTGCTGAATGCTCTATCCATTTGTCTCTTCAGCAGAAGTATTTCTCCTTCCACTGTCAATTTCAATGATAATTAGAGGTGGGGGTCATTATACATTCTCCTGGGCTGCTCTAATTGCTCATGATGTCTGTCTTGTAATGAAAGGAAGTAAGGTAGAGTGTCTTGACCTATACCAGCATAACCATCAGGAGAACAACAATTATGCATAATTAATTGCTTTACTCCTCAGGGATAGAATAGATCCCCTTGCTGGCTTATGGGGACCATACCATTTTATAGGTCAATGCTCCATTTGGTTGAATTGTTATGTATAATGTGTTGCAGATCTGAGGGTTGTTTAGTCACTCAGTGCTTTGGCTGATGCTGGAACTTAAGTAGGCACCTTGTGATTAGCTGGATTTTTGAAATGCATAGTCACTGGTCCAAGCTGTCCATTGTGTCCTTGATAAATACTTTCACTTTCCCCCCCAAAAAACTGGCAGGACAAGCTGTATGATTCCCTGGAAGTGTTGGTAGTCATTGGGGTTGATTTTCAGGCATTTGGTAAACGGGACTAAACATGGACTTTATTTATTGCACGGTATGTACGGTTGCAGATCTTTGCAAGTAAAGTAACAAAGATGGTGCTTTACTTGACTTGAGTAAGAAAGCTGTATCATCAGGTGAACAGAAACAAATCCTAGATTGAATGAAGTCCAGTCTGTGGCTGTGTTTCGTCAAATGTCTTGTGGAACTTGCACCGAATGTGATACTTTTATTTGTCTTGTTGTCATGGTAATCCAAGATTCTGTGTCATCAATTGTGAAATGTGAAATTGTGTTTATACATAAGGGAATATCAACTATAACTCCGGATGAAGTAATTTGTTTGGGGTATTTGCATCATGAATTCCATGAAGATGTCGGTGCTAACTTCTTGTTTCCTGTTTTGGTTTTTCTTTGAGCAGACATACCCACCGGTCAGAACCATGCCCCCGCCTAGTCCAGCCAGTAACACCGGCTCAGCGGGCAGTTCAGGCTCTTCCAGTCAGCAACATTCCCCTCACTCCCAGTCCTCGCAGAGTAGTTACGGCAACGACAAACTCAGCAAGACTAACCTGTACATACGAGGCCTTCCCACCCACACAACAGACGAGAACCTGGTCTCCCTCTGTCAGCAGTAAGTTTGCCACATCTTGAATTTGTTCTTCTTGCTGAGATGCATTCTCCTTTTCCTAAGGGTCAATGTTTGGGGTTGTGTCAATGCATTTTTAGTCCTATTTTAAAGTATCCCCAAAGGATGAATGAGCGTAGATATTTTTCAAGGTGCATAATTTATTATCTTGCTGTGGACAATATAGTTTCCCTGTGTCCTTCACTTTTTTTGATCCCTTGGTTTGGCAAAATTTTACGTTTGGTGGAAAATACATTGTGAGATCTAAACAGCCCCCAATCCAACGGGCATCACAGACACGCCCCCGTCATCATGCGTATCATGACGGTTACCGGCAAAGATTTTATAATGTGTGCTTTTCAGAGAAATTGTCTGACTGTTGGAAGGGATCCATCCGTATTAGATACAATAATTGCATTGTGGACTCAGGGAACAAGATCGGAAAGAGCCTTTGCCACTTTCTGTACCACTTCCCAATCCAGAAAGAAGAAATTTAACCCAGCACAGGTCACAAAAAGGGTGGATAGTTTTACATTTAGTTCCAGTACTTCATGGTGTTGGTCCACCCAGTTGAAAAATTTGAATAAAAAAAAGTTCAGGCAAAGATCACTGCACTTACCTGAAAAAGTACAATTCGTCCTTCTGTGTGATGGAAAAATATGGTAAGCAATACTTCCTATTTCATTGTAGAAGGGCACCACAGCGTACTCTAATTGACCAATTTAGGGTGTGTGAAGCTGGTTTGGGCCAGGGATAATATTTCCTTTGGTTGATTTGGTGAAATTGAAGGAGATTACTTCAGCTTTTTAGGGGTTTCTTCTATAGAGGTGATTCCATTAGTGGGATTTTCTGCATCGGTTAGTGGCTTTGAAGTTGATTTATCAGACTATCGTTGGGCATTCTTTGAGAGGTTTGTTGTAAGTAGGTTCTCTTGGCTGTAAACAGACCACACACACACCTTTTTTAAGCTGAGAAGTTTTATGACCCATCTCTATCCATAATGGATCCAAAACAATTCACCCACATGCAGGGACCTTCCCTTGCTAAATAAATAAAAAGTTCCCCAAAAGCACTTGAAAGACTGGAGATACATTCACTTTGACCTTGACAAAACCGTTCATTCTCCTGTTTAAGACATGTGGAAAATTTGTTTCTGTCTCGTCACATTTCTCACACGTACATGTTGCATAATGGAAGCATTGGTTTCACTTTCAGTTTAATACATTTCAGTTCAAATGGTGGAAACAGTTCAAATCTAACTTTCAGAGAAATAGTCGTTTTTACTCTTTCTTACCTGTTTGATTTTCGGCTCCAAATTAAATTATCAAGTTTTAAGAAAGTAAGTTATTGTGCATGTTACTTTTGAAATTTGAAAAGCCATTCCTAGGTTAAAAAGAGGGAATAAAAATGTGCTTGGCCGGTCTTAAACATGGGTTTAAGACCGGCTAAGGAGAATGGGCGTGACTAATGCCCAAGCTGTGGGTGAGGACATTATCAGCATTCAGTCTCCTGAGCCCGTCTTAAACGTAAGACTGGCCAAGTGCTTATTTATTCCCATTCACAAATAGTTTTTTTAGTTAGAGAGACAGATTTTGAACAATCTTGTTCTAGAATTTTACTTTCATTTTTCCGAACACCCCCATCCATTTTATTTTATGGTTGTCCAAATGATCTCCTTATATGGACCTTGGTACATGCATGGTGAGCCACGTGCACACAGACTCCTAACCAATCAGAATCAATTAAACTGTCTCGTATCCAGGTGCCAGTGCGTGATTTACAGAGTGGATATTATGACTTCTCAGCGGGCATTATCAAATGAAAATACACAGTCAAGTTGCACGTTGTTGACTAAAGAGACTGTCTGAGTTATTTTTGAATGACCTTGCACATTAACTTTCACTTTTAAGAATTTTCCAACCAGAACTTCTACCTCAAATAACTTTAGGGAACCTCTCAAAATGACCATGTATAACCTTTTCGATCATATTGCTTAATTGGGACCTGTTAAACCATTTAAACTGTGATAAGCACAGCTGGAGCCACCTGATCTCCCTGATTTTCAAATGCCCCAATCTCCCAATCATCTACTCCGATCAGAACCTCAGGTGGTTCATACATGCCACCTGACCACTGATTGCTAATCGAGTTCACAAACCAGCCTTTAGGGAATGTTTACAGGAGTTGCTCAACACTCAACAGAAGATTCTTATCATGTGACTTTGAGTTACTGAGTTTGAAAAACAAATCTCTACAGAGATGTTCCTGCAGTGGCTGATCAGAGTAAATTCTGGAGGTTTAGAAGCAAAAGATATTTCCAAGCAAGTAGGCTAACAAAATGACAAGCAGGTAAGGCAATACTTCAGGAGAAAATGTGAAGATGTATAAAGATTTGCATAAATTTATAATACAAAAAGTAAATTTGTAAACTTTGGACAATATCCATCACGAGTCATTTGTTGTCAAACCTATGATCAAGTCAATGATTATGTTAGGCACCTCATTCTTTCTTTTGCTGTAACTACAGACAAGGATGAGTCAAATTGAACAATCTTATTTCAGCACTCAAACAGTTATCAGGGAACTTACTAATAATTTCATGCAGTATCTTGATTTTCATCACTGAACTCCAACTGTTTTTCCTGCAACAATCTTAAATACTAAATCTAATTCTAAGCCCTGTTGGGGTCCATCGTTGGTTATCTGAATCATCTTACTGCCAGGAATTACCCCCCCCACCACAGTTGATCCTCTCTTCCCAATCCTACAACAGCCAAGCTGCCAAATGTGTAAATATCTCCAGTAGTCATCTATGAAGCCACCTGCTACCCTAAAGAACCAACTTCAAGAAAACAAAAAGGAAAAAAAATGGTCTTCGGAGATAGCAATCCCATGAATTAGTAATGCCCAAATGTCTCAAGCAGAATGCACCTGATACGAGACGTGGCAAGTGTGTCTCTGCCGCCTTTGACCCTAAGCCTACGGTCTTACACCAAGCATGAAGCCAGAAAATGATCTTCCAGACAACATTTACGCAAGGGAACCTGATGCAAATAGTCAGTAGTTGGTAATGGGCATCAAAACCTTGATGAGATTGTGAGCAAAGGAGTCTGGTACTGGCAAATGCTATCTTGATGAAAACTTGTGTGTGGGGGGGGTTCGTTTAAGGGTTTGCTTTAATGCTCACAACGAAAACTCTTTTGAAGAAGTTGTTTGGAGGTCCTTTTGGTTGTTGTTTCCCTGTTTAAGCTTAGAGACATGCTAATCACTCTGCAGTTGGTATCCAGCCCAAAGCACCATGTGATAATGAATTGCTTCTGACTGCAGTGTTATATTGGAGTCTATTACAAGTCCTTGCAGGTCCACCACGAGTCCACCACAAGTCCACAAGTCCATCACAAGTCCACCACAACTCATTCAGTCTGATGCCAATTTACAAGCAAATGAAGCATTCTTTTGTCATTGTTCGCCCTCATGCCAAAGACTGGACTTGTGAAGGGACTTGTGACTGGACTTGTGGAGGGACTTGTGACTGGACTTGTGAAGGGACTTGTGACGGGACTTGTGACTGGACTTGTGAAGGGACTTGTGACTGGACCTGTGATGGATTCGAATACAACACTGTGTGATTGGTTCTCATCTGAATTTTGCTAAGCAAAATGAAAGGTATTTAAGCATTAATTTTTGTTACCCAGTGCACAGAAGGGGTATTGATATTTAGGATATGCCATGTTGTGGATTTTCGTGGGGGAAAAAGGATGGACTGTTTTATTCAGTTACGAATCATAATGCAGAGGTCCCATTAGGATGATACCTCGATATGGCGTAATGACTTGGCTTGATGCTGTAATGCTGTGGTGCTGTTTTGATTGGCATGATGACAGGGAATCTATTTCACTGAGACACAGGTGCGTGGCTTCCAGTTCCTGGGAGATGTAGATGACGTATCTCTCTCCTGAATTAAAAGAGATGAGGCTGTTTGCACTCATTTCACACCCTACTTCATTTGATGGGAGGCAGGGCACTTTTAGACTGGTACCAGTACGTTTACATGCCATGATCAACAGTACTGCCTTGTCTAATTGGTAATCTCTAGTAATATATCTTGCTTATGGACATCAATACCCCGGCAAGGTTCAAAATCAAATACTCAGAATCTTGTTCTACAAATCCTTGAAAACCGGAGGCAGACATTGCCAGCAGAAAGTGTTTGGACAGCGTTGGAAGCCTTGTCAACTTTCAGCTCAACCTGAAGGTGTGAATGCTTCCTGTAAAAGGGCTCGCTTATGGAGACCTACATCTCTGGCAGACTTGGAAAGCCTGCATTGAAGAATTTCATTCTTGAAGAGGAGCGACTGGTGGCTTATGTGCATTGATGTGTAACGGCCATCAGTTTCCTGGCAAATTCCAGCATTTGGCGCTCATCAAAATTCCAGCCGACTCCAATCTAATAACCCAGGAGACCGAGCTGCAACTCATCTCATTATCTTGGGCATGGGATTGTGAGTATCTATCAGTTGCAGGGAAAGATGCCAAAAAGTGCTGTTGCGCTTCATTAGGTCAGAGCGAGAAGACGATGCAGTAAAGAAAACCAAGACTGTGTCAAGCTAATGGCTCATTGAGGGGATCAAATCCCATCCCAAAACAGATTCCACTTCAGACAGAAAAGTCGTGCAGAGATCAAGTTGTTTATGTCTGGATTCCCCTGTTTATGAGTGGGTTTCTGGAAATGTGGACAGAACTGTTATACAAGTCTGGACAGGGCTTGTCTCTTCTTCTAAATTCCCTGATTAAAACATGAACCTACATATATGCATTAACTAGATTGAGAAGCCTGCCAGCATCAAGATGTTTCGGTTATGTTTGAACTGGGCTTCCAGAACTATGGCAGCCTTTGCAACATTTACACATCTCCAGGGTACAAGATCCGTATCACACATGCAATCAGCCACTGTAGTCTGATGTAGAGGATGGGTGTCTTGTCTGCATCGTTTCCCTGCTCTGGA